TTTTTTTTTTTTTTTTCTTTCCTCAGATCACACAGGCCAAGGCAAAGCCGACCCCGGTTCTCCAGTATGCCAGGTGGGAGTGGTGGGCACTTCCATCCTATACTGAACATGGCTAGCATGGCACGGCCCGTCCAACTGCCACGACTACCCTCGTGGGTGTCAGGGCTCTAGATGAGGACAGCAGCCTTCACCCTCTCCTCCGCTGTTCGGGTATGAGGGAAGGGCGCCCGCCTGAGGTGCGGCACAGAGAGAAAAAGCCGCACCGCCACCCCAAACCACTGGCTATGCCGCTCAAGCCGCTCCTAGCTCGCATGCGGCCCGAACTCTCGCGAGAAGTGTGCCGCCGGCTGGGCCGGGCCGGGCCGGGCGGGGCGATGGTAGCGTTTCTGGGGCGGCCCCAGTGACGGGAGGCGGTTGTTGGGGCGCTTGGGCTGACACGACGGGCTCTTTCTCCTCACCTTAATTCGTCTCCTGCATGCCGCCGGTATCGGGGGCGCTGTGCAGCGCGGCACGGGCCGCCAGCCATGGCCGAGGCAGGAGAGGGAAGCGCCGAGATGGCTGAGGAGGAGCGGCGGGCCACTGAAGGTAGAGGCGGGGGCCGTTTGGGTCGTGGTTGTTAGCGGGTATTGGCTGGGTGTCCCCCCTTCCCGCTGTAGCGGCGGTGGGTGGCGTGTTATGCTGTGTGTGTGAGGCGATCGTGGTACTTGTGGGGTGGGGTGTGTCCATGATGTGGCAGAAGCGAGCCCTGCGTGAGTGTTGTTGGGAGGTTGGTGCCCGTGGTACAGGGCTGCGTGTCTTCAGGATGTGTGTGGCCGTCCGTGGGGTACAGCCTTTCTGTGGGGGCACCTGGGTCGCGGTCCCAGTGTCACTTGGTGTTGTGGTGTTTTTTTTTTTTTTTTTTTTTTTTTTTTTTTTTTTTTTTTTTTTTTTTTGTGTTGTTTTTTAATGCTGTTGTCTGCAGATATGCTTGGTCCAAAGACTGACCTGGGTGCTTCTAACTCCTTTCTCCCATTCAACTTCAACGGGGGCAGATGCAACGGCATTACATTCTGCACTTACAGAGAAATCCAGAGTATAATGTTCACTCTGGGCTTCTGTTTTATTACTGTTACAGAGGTGTCATCATGCTGATGTGATGTGGACTAAAAATGGATTTGTTTTTTTATCTTAGTATGTACTTTACTGTTTCTGATACACAGCCGGTTTATGTGCTCTTAATACACTAATACGATTTTTTTTTTGTAGATTAAACATAATTTAGTATTTTAGGTATAGTGATTTTGATTTCTCTCTGTGTGTGTATGCCCGTGCTTGTATGGTGCTTGAGGTTTTATGTTCTTGTTCTTAATAATAAGTTTGTGGTACTAAAACAAGGCTAGTTGTAAGCCACCAGCAGCTGTTTGTGCTCCTCCTGCTTTGAAATGAATATGTTGCTTTGTCTCTCCGAGGAAAAAGAAGTGTTTTACACGGGGTTTTGAAAAACAGAAGTGAGCAAATCTCTTCTATGTCAACTTTGCAGTTCTGTTTTGTTAACACTAATTATTCTAGGTTTAGTAGTTGTTGTTTTTTAAATGTCTGTTATCTGTGTTTTAATGTATATGGGGATCCAGGCTGTCTAGAATAATTGATGTTTTTCTGTCTCTGCAGCCTGATTATTTAAATTTTGTTATAATTTTGTAGCAAGTGATCTAGTGTATGAAAACAAAGTGGGGTTTTGATTTTTTTTTTTTTTTGGTAGTTTTTTGCAGTCTTTTCGGTTGTGCTTAAAACAAGGTTTAATTTTTTCTATATCATGCACATAGTGTAAGGAAAGTAAATAATCAAAGAAAACCCCAAATATGCAGATGTTTTTATTTACAAACAGACTTGGGAAAGCAATGAACCAGAGGGTTTCATGTTCTACTGTGAAAGAAAACCTCCTCCCTGGTTTCTTTTGTTAACTATATTTATACTTGTTCTAATGGATTTTGAAGAATTTTTTTTTTCTTTAAGATAAAAATATCTTCATTTTTGTGGAATGGGTCCACACTAAGGTTAGCTGCTTAAAAGCTGTTTTGCTTTTAAGTGTATATGTTATTGTTGGTATACTTGCAAATTACGAAGAACAAACTTATAAACTGTCAAGTTCACATCAACTAAGAATCAAATTAATTATAAGAAGAAATAATTTGGTGAGTGATTGGGGGAAGCAGATCATTGTGAATTGCAGAAAATTCCCTGTTTGGTCTCCAGGGCGAGCTAAAACCATGGAAGTTCTGCAACTGACTTGATGGGAATCAGCATTTCACAATAATATGAATCAAAAACTTACAAGAAAACAGGTACTTGCCATTCCTTTAGCAGTGTATGATTGGAGAGTTGTTTGTTTGGTGGTGTGTTTTTGTTTTGTTTTGTTTTGTTTTTTGTTTGTTTGTGTGGGTTTTGGTTGTTTTTTTGTTCAGTAATGAACTATGATATATGAGACTCTTGATTTCTATCAGCAACATGTTATGAGCCTGAAAGTGACTGAGAGGGCAGGGTAGCCTTTCAAGGGCTTGTGTAGTATCTCTTCATTAGCTGGTTACAGTCATACTTTTTAATACACTAATAGGTTTGGCCAGATATTTGGTGTTTGAAATCTATTAAGTAAATGTATTACTTCATTGCTAAGTTGTGATTCTTGGCAACTGAGTGGAGAAAATAAGTAAAAATAATGCAGAAAATAATCAGCTGTCTATGACTGATTTAAATTTCTGTAATTCAGGATATTATAAGTTTTCCTTTCATCATTTTGCGATATTAAAAACAAATCCAATGTTCTTTAGTTAACCTGTAAGGTTTATTTTATGTATAGTGGTATTCGTAAGATGACTTCATGGGGGGGGGGGGGGATGGGGGAGACAGGACTGTACATTTCTACTGTTTTCACAACTCTAATGAAGATTGTTGCCCCAGCTTTCAATGAGAGATACTGTGGCCAATGATATGGATGCTAGACTTTCTGTAACTAGTCTGAAGATGTTTTTCATGTCCTATTTTAAAGCTCTAAAATAAGTAAAAATAATATTTAATATAGCTCTCACTCCTGTTTAGAAAACACAGTTCTTTGTTTTATAGGTGTTTGGATCTGCAGGACCTGTAAAGTGATGCATATCACAGCACCTGTAACTTTCTTCCTCATACAGTGCTGTATGTAAGGATATAGGTATATTTTTCTCATTCTCTAATGAAAATCTGCAGTAAGAACTCATTAAAATAATTTTAGAAAAATAAGTCTACAGTAAAATAAAGCAATGTACATGACATAGCTATCAAGACAAATAATTTCAAATAACTATCCTGTGTGTGCTGCATGTATAGATATATGTGTAATTACTTAAGTAATCAGAGACGTAAGAAAAATATTAGTGTGTCAATTGTGACAAAAGTTAAGGATCCAACTTGACATCTTGAGTAGTACCTCAGTTTAGAAAATTTATGTGACTTGTGTGCCTAGATTTGTTATATCTCTGCTCCTTTGTATGACTCTGTTCCTAAGGACTTTAAACTGAGGCCCTTCAGTACTCGAAGGCTTTGTGCACATTAGTGTTTTGGTTCAGAGTGATAGCATTGGTTTGAATTGAATCCCATCATCCCCACTTACTGCTCATTGGTTTGGTTTGCAGAGCAGTTTTGCTATAAATGAAATTGACTCCTTTCAGAAGAAACAAAAACTAGAATTTTATTCTAGTGCTACTCCAGGCACATACCAAACATGCCCCAACTCCAAACATAAGGGACTGCTCAGGCAGCTTACATGCATTGTAAGGATTTTTGGTCTAGTGAACCAGACTAAATGTAATTTAGCTACCTGAACTACTTACAAATCAGAAACAGGGGCTTCTGCACCAGATGCTTCTCTCTACTGACTGTTGCTGTTTAGCTATTGTATTTACTGCTGTAGACATAGCCTGATAGCTTGTCAGAATAGGGTTCAGTTTTAACAACTCATCTAGTTAAGATGAAGAACTTTAAACTTGTCAAAGCTTGAATTTCTAGCTACAGGTTTTTGTGCATGCCAGGAACATACATTTGGAAAATACACATTTTAATAGTCTGTGGCATCCGTGGTCTTAGAAATTTCAATTCAAAGCAGCTTCTTTCTTCTCCTTTCCTTCTGCCAGAAAGTGTTTCAAAATAGGAAGTTGGATTCAAAGGGTCATCTTAGAAAGTTTGTGCCAGTGTTACCATATTGTTAACTTAAGCAGCTGCAGAGCTGCGATATTTCTCCAAGTCTGGTGTGTACATTATTCACATACTATGAGTGCCACTCGTAAGTTTTATAAATGTACTTACTCATTGACATTTTATTTCAAACATATTTTACTGTAATGTCCTTATAGATCGATTTAGATGTTTCTTTTTAAACTGGCTAAATGAGAGCTGACTGACAGCTTTTTTCTTAATTTATTAATACCTACATGACTTGTATTTTTCTGCTGATTTTTGAAGTGCTTCTGTGTATGTTGTATGATTTCCTTTCAGTGATTCTAAAAAGTCAAAATAATGTTTTAGTACTAGAAGTGATATTTTCAGAAAGCTTCTGAGGAGGAAACCTACCCAGAAAAGCTAACCTTTCATAGGGGGATGAGTAGGTCATGAGGTGGTAGTGCATTATTAAGGAAATAATTTTGAAAGACTGTTTCAGGCTTTCACTTGTTGCATGTGACACAAACAGGTGTCATCTGTGGCTGTTCTGTTTTAAGAATTGTGTGATATAGCCACCTTAGGAGGGATTCATCACGTTTATCTTTAGATGTCTTCAGAGTAGATATCCAAGTCTGAGCTAGTTACTTTGGTCTTTGTATAATTACTAGATAAGTGTAGGTACTCTTAGATGGTATTTCATCTAACCAACTGTAGGAATCTATTTTAGATTAAGATGAATCACCCTAGAAATATTGTATTTCTTCTAGCCAACTGTAAGAATCTATTCTAGGTTGAGATGAGTCATCCTAGAAAGTGGCTTCTTCCCTCCTTAGAGGGACTAAAATGGCTAGTTCAGATGTGGACATCTTTTTGTTCAGATGAATCTCACCTTTTACGGCTGGTGGAGTTTGGCTGTAAGCCTTTTCTAATAGATTGTGTTTGTTTAGCAACTGAAAACCTTAAAACTGTTAGAGGAGAAAACAGGTCAGGAATGTGGCATGCATAGAAAATATTATTATCGGTAATTGGAAAATTATAGAATCTTCCAAGCCTTGTTTCTTAATACATTACATGTGATTTGCACAGAACCTTTGCTGAACATAAGAATACAGTTGATTTCACATGTTTTTACTTCATATTCCACCCCTAAACAGTAGTTTCGTGTAGCTTATTTGCAGTTGTTCACTTCCTTGCTAAACCCCTTGGGGACTGTACACTTTTTTTTTTTTTCTTCCTTGTAGAAAAACACGAGATGTTGTAGATCAGTAGGATATGGTCTTGTATGTTGATGTGATGACAACTGTATGTATTGATAAACATTCCTTAAATACTTTGTTTGCCTGGTAATGAAAAACACAAAAGTTAGAGTTAAAATAATATGTTTTTATTTCTGCTACACTTTCTAGAAATGAGGTAGT